GCAGCTCCCTCGGGAGCTCCGGCAGGGATTGGAGTAGTCCTTGGGGCGCGGCAGGTTTTCACGTGTCACAGTTCCCTTTTTAGAGTAACGGTGTATAAATGGAATGCGGTCCTGAGTCACAGGATGTCCAGGTCAGCTCCCAACGCCGGTTACTTCAGTGGGATAACTGTCTCACTTTGGGGAGAAAGTTGATTTTGTTTTCTAGCCAGGAAGATAAAGCTGGGGATGTCTCATGGTTACTGGCAGCCGACTGGCCATGAACCTACTGCGTTTATATACCTTCCGTGCCGTGTCACTAATAACTCTGTGACTTGTTTCCACGTTTGCTGCAGGGATTCCATCCGTGGCAAGGAATTTGCTGTGAGGTCTGGCTGCCATGGCAAGCCTGCTGCGTGTTGCTGCCAGTGGGTGCCTAGCTCCTGTCTTTGGCAATGTGCTGTCACCAAAGGTGCACTCAGCAAAGGTGACGTGTTTGCGAATGTTTAGAACCCACCAGGTCCTCAGGACTCAGGCAGCTCCAAAGCCAGGTAAATCGATTCAACTGTTGGAAGTAATCTTTTGTTTTAAAACATGGATATAAATTGTTTTTTTTTTTTTCTTTCTTTCAGATCTGCATTAGTACAGAAAAGACTTAAAATAGAACACACTTAAGTCATGTCAGCAGCAGTCAGCTGCAGCACAGTTTTACACTGGCTTTATAGGGCTTGTGCAGAAGGTGTTTGTGTTGGTTATGAATGCTTTGGATCCAAATAGCTTTTGAGGCTTGGGGGTCTGAGCTGCTGTTAACACTTACCTTGCCTGAGGGAGGTATTTAAACCAATGCTTTTCTTAATTAAGAGCCTGAGTTCCCCATGAATTTTTGTAGTATAGCTCTTTGTGTGCATGGAGGAGAAAACTAGACCTCACAAAGAGAGTATCTGCAAGCATGATTATGTGTAGATATAAGTATCCCATCTGAAAAACTCTCTTAACATTGTTTAGGAAACGCTTATGTTGTAGCACTTTGAAAAACTGTTGATCTGCTGCTTGGTGCCTAGGGTTTGTTAGTATATTTGCACTAGTTGCATCTTAGCAAACAATGGACAAATTGAGGCATTTTCAGGAAAAAAATAAGTGGAAATGGGGGCATCCTTGTTTCCAGTTTCTGATATGAGCCTGATGTATGAAGATCGGGACTGATTTTTTTCTGTGCTACGCATAGCCTAGCAGCTGGAAGTCTGGAGGATGCATAACATGTGTTCAATGCTATTTTTGCCCATTATCTTGCATGGGTCATGTCTCCCTGGTGGAATTTAGAGGCCCTGCTTCAGTGCAGATCTTAGTCTGCAGCAGATTAATGTGGAGGATTGGACTGATGGTACGCATGATGTTTCGTTCTTCCAAATGAAGACAATAGGTAACTGCATTAGATGCTTCAGGTTAGGAAGGTAGCACTGTTTATGAACAGTGGTGTCTGGTTGTGAAAACACAGGACATGAGATTAGCATGTATAACTCTTAAGAAGCCTGTGTTGCGTTGAATTTCTGGCAGTACTAACATTGGATGGTGCATTTTGTGGTCCTTTCAACTTGGTGTCTGAAGATTTTGGAAATTCTGAAGAAATGTGATGAGAGGAAGTTTGTTTACCCTGAGGGCTCCTGATAACCTGTATTGCATGGCTTTTTACCACAGTTGCATGGTGAAACCTGAATTGCTTTGCTCTGATAGATTGGCAGTGCTCCAGATTTTTTTTTCCCATATTGAGTATCTGAATGAAAGAGACATCTGTCAATCTGATGTGGCAAATTGTCCCTTGGTTGGGAGCGTAAACAGGGATGTAGGAAACTAGGTTCAAAGTTCTCTCTCGAATGTCCCAGGTAAGTGCCTGTGTTGTTGTTTGAGTTTGGAATCAATCTTTGACCACAAATTTGATCATGAAGCTGGATAATCTCTCCAGTTTTAGTGAAACTGGTATGCTGCTCTGTGTGTGCATTTTGTTGTTTTTGAGAATCGCTTTTGAAAATTTTTTCCACAAGTGTGGAAAATTCTGATTTGTGTCTTGTTCTCAAGCATTCAGTGCTGCCCCTTCTCATCTGTTGTGTGGAAGCCCTCGTTTAAGGATTAGTAGTATTCATGAAATACAGTTATTTAATACGGGGAATTACAAGTTTGGTTGTCTTTTGGTTGATAATTAAGCTGTCCTCATAGTTCCTTTTGGTAACATGTGATTTGACATTGAGTAGAGGACATATCACCATATGAAATAACTGCATTTTATTATTTCAGAGAATATCTTTGATTATAGTAACACTCAGTAAAATCACTGGAACACTAAGAAGAGTAAGTTTTCTGAAAAGACCAGTGTCACTGTAATTCTTTCAGCCTGTAGTTATTCCTTTCCTTCTCTCAGATTAGCTTTCATTCTGTCCAGGCTGTGTTATGTACAAGATTAGCAGCTGCTTGAGCAGTGAAGATATTTGGAGTCAGCTGAAAAGTAAATTTGGAGGATAATTTTCTTACTGCTATTTATTTTGCTGCTACTTGTTTATTAGAAACATAGGAATTTTCATACAGGAGTAGAGAAGTATTCCTGTAACCTGTCTCAAATAGTCACTAGCACTAGATGCTTCAGAAGCAGAAGCAAAAGTTTCTGAAGCCCTGGGAAAGGTGCTTACTCTGCTGACTCTGATGTTTCCAGTATACTTCCAGATTGGTTTGTCCTATAGCTCTGCGATTTTTACCCCTCTCTGTCTTGGGATTTTTGATACCCTTTTTATTCTGATGTTTATTTCTTAAAATTTCCCATTTCTTTTCTAGATCTTGCAGAGCTTTTAAACCTCTAACAGTTTGTTTTCAATTAATCCTCTAGGTAAGCTGTACTTTATTTATAAACAAGAGACATTCTTCTTTAATTTCCTTGGGGTTTTTTTTGTAATTCCTTGCTTGTATAAAAGGAGGGATCAGGTGTTTAATTTCTGTACCATTTTTTTTCTTTTTGCCAACATCATATTGCTTTGGAATATATCCTCATCTTCAGAACAGGTGAGATGGTTTGTTTAAAGGTGCTATTGGAGTAGCATAAAAACCAGGCAGGGTACACATCAATTTTTTCCTGTCCCAGAACATGTGGCATATAGGCAAAATGTTTCCTGTATCTTTTCTCTGAGTTGCTCTCTAATACTTGTTGATGCTGTTTTGCTGCAGACTACTTCCCAAAATCAGGTTAATGAGATGAAAAAACTGTATTTTTTTTTGCTATAGTTTTAACTTGGAATCTTCTATAAGATTCTTGTAGGTGGAAGGTTACGTGGAGAAAACTAGTTCGTTTTAACTGTTTGATTTCTGAAGCTTGGAGGTGTAATTTACCTACTTGCTTTAATTGAAGTTTAAGACAGTGCTTTGAACATGTCCGCATTACACAGTCAAGATTATGGTAAGGGGATTAGAAAGAGGGACTTCTTACTAGTTTTTCTAAATTCTAATTTATGTGTATGCAATACTAAGATTTCATTGGAATATATATTCCATTCTAAGGCCTGTGATTTAATGATTCTACTTTTGATAGTGGCAGAATCCAAAATGTTGCTGTTGATTTTTTTTTTTTTTGTATCAAAAAAGGTACTGGCTATCTCTGACTCCATATTAAAAATCTCCATGTGACTTAAAAAGGTGCTCCTGGTATGTGTATATCAGTCGGTATTTGGAAAATGCTCTTGATGTCATGAAGCAGTAAGTGACTAAGACATAGTCAAGGCAGTTCTGAAAGAGATTGCCTGACATGGAGGCTTAGAAAGGTGACTTCGATGAAATTGCTGAGTTCAACAAACCAAATCTGTGTTCACTATATAGCTTCCTTCAAATGTAGTATTTATCATACCCTGTTACATGAGCGGGCAGAGGCAGGCAGCTTGGACAGCCACAAACTCACAGCTAAAATGCAGAGTAAGTTTCTTTCCATTACCTCACTAATGAGGGATCCCCAAAGCAGGACCCAGGCAGAGGAACACAGGCAGAAACACAGGCGCCAGTAAATCATCCCTGACCTGCTGTTCACACAGGCTTGTCAAGAATTATTCCCGGCTGCAAGGTCACTGGAGCATTTTACAGTCCTCCTTGCTGGTTTCTGCTTTTTAACTCATTCCTCCCAAAATCTGTCCTGATGTTTTAACATAGATCTGTGTTTTTCAGTTGTAAACATCTGCCCCGGTTTGATGCTGAATGATGTGAAAGCTCAGGGTAGTCTACTCGAAAATTGTCCTATACTTGATCTAGCAAAAGGCAGGCAAACTGACATCTGTTTGCTTCTGTGTTCATTTGCTCCTATATTTACTGGTTGCTGGAAGTTTGGTAGTCGGATAGAGGAGAAAAAACGGTGAGAGGCAAATGAGACTTGTTGAATGTTTGTCTTGGATTTTGGGGGACTTAATCCTCCATGTCGGTCTCTCATCATTCTGCTTACTAAATAAGGTACAAATACTTTGTATCTGGAAAAGTTTTGCCTATTTTTAGTGGCATGCAAGATGTAACAATGTGAAAAAAAGGAGTGAGGAATGAGGAAATACATTTGCCGTAAGTGAGTACATATTCCTCTCCTGTTCCTACAAGCCATTTACACTTCTATTCGTGCACTCCACACAAAACAAATGAACAAAAAGAAATCAGGGGCATCTGTTGTCATCTGAGCCTTAGGAGCTAAACCCTATTTGGCTTTTTTTTTTAGAAAAATGCAAGCTTTAGTTATCTGTGTGTATGCCTTTAATTTTGCAGTCATCTATTTCCTGTATGCTGTAAATTAGTCCCTTCCTCCCCCTTCTCCCCGCTTTGTACCCTGCTTTGTCCCTCACTTTGTTCCCCCCTTTCCCTGCTCTCCCCCCTTCTAAATTTCTGTGCTGCAAGATTTTCCAAGAGGAGAAAGGGAATGTAGAACTCTAGCTGTTAACTTTCCTCAGTGCTTCTTGAAAAGCTTTTTGCCTTCTATCCTGCCCTAGAGCTGCTTCCTTTCTGAAATTGATTGCTCTCTGTTATCCTAACAAATTTCAATCTTCTAGGTTTCATTCCTGCCTCTAAAAGACAAGAGAGTTCATTTCCACGGAGTTGCTTTATTGAAAATCAGAATCAGGACTTTATTTTGTAGTAATTAGAAGAGATGAGGAGAAAGGTCTCTTCAAATGACAAGGGTAATTTGAGTGACAGCAACAGTATCATACCTTTCAAGTGGTTAGTGCTGCTTGGTTGGTATGGCCTGAGTTGCACGGTAATGTTCAAATGTCGTGTATGCTGCTGAAGCAAATCAGTGCAAAGCACTTTTACCTTTGTGGGTCTGTTGTTTCAGATGTGCCTACTTGTTGCTGTTGTGACTTTGTTCTTCTTAAGTATATTTTTTCTGAGTTTGATTTTTGTCTTGTAATTGAAACATTTTAAATGTTCTCCATCACAAAATATCAAAACACTTCTGTCTTCAAATTATTTGTTACTATTTAATTAGTTAAATATCAGAGACAAAGCTAAAGTAAAAAAGTGCAAATAACGAGAGTCACAGAATCGTTAAGGTTGAAAAAGACCTTCCAGATAATCAAGTCTAACCTTTGCCCAATCGCCGCCTCGTCAACTAAATCGTGGTATTAAGTGCCATGTCCAGTTGTTTTTTGAACACTTCAGGGATGCTGGCTCCATCACCTCCCTGGGCAGCCCATTCTAGTGCTTGACCACCCTTTCAGTGAAGAAATTCTTCCTGATGTCCAACTTGAACTTCCACTGGTGTGACAATTAGAAGTAATGCACTTCTATGTCTGGTGATCTTTCATTCTGTCTTTTTGTTGAATGTGTTCAATCATTTCTTTTTAATGAGTTCGTAGATGACAAGTATAGGTAGGTATTTACATACCAGATGTCAGCAACTCTGTACTATATTTTCAGAGCATTATAAGTTGATAATACCTTGAAAATTTTAAATCTAAAACATTTTCAGATGCTCAGCTTTAAGCACATTATAGTCCAAGTTCTATTTCATAGGTAATTTTGATATTTTAAAATCTGATTCTAGTTCCTCAAAGCTTTTACTGTGTAGTGTGTTTTTACCTTTGTTTTGCATGTTTCTACCTTAAAAAAGTGAAAAGGAGGCCTTCCTAAAATGTAAATTTCTGGTTTGGTACAGTCTTGTAGCACAATATATGGTATTGGTGAACAGTTTTAAAAGCAGATTTGTAATTTATAACAAGCCTTTCACCCATATCCTCTGAGTGTTTCATACGACATAAAAACTTTAACTAGTCCTCATGGGGACCAAACACCTGTCCTGATCTTTTTTGTTTTGGTTTGGTTTTTTTTTGTCGTTGCTGCTGGATCATTAATATGTGTTACTGCTTAGACTGCTCAAGTTATATTTCATTAACATATATGTGGTTTAAATGTGTAGTGTAGTAATGTCACAATCCAGGTTTAATTTCTGGATAGACATCGGTGCAAGTTGGTGCAGGGTCAGGCCTGTGTGCTGGACTGCATGCTTGTCAGTGTCATTGAAGCAATGTGGTAGTTCAATGTATGATCATTCTGCTCGAGTCTGTGTATTTATAAGCAATTCATTTAAACACTTGTTTGACTCCCAGATATTAGACTGGATACCCACAACTTGCACATCAGCAAAGTTAGATGTTTGTAATTTGAAGACTTTAGCTAAAACCAGTAAATTGCATCTTTAGCAGTTTCCTGGTGTTAGTGGAGCTTTGAAGATGTTAGGACAGGGAGATAACATTGAAGAGAAGTATTATTGAAGAAGCTAGTAGATGGATATTCTGTTATCCTTCAACTACTTCTGAATTCACATTTTTCATTTCTGTGGCAACTTTAGAGTACCTCATCAGTGTAGCTGTGCCTTTCAATATACTTTGTGGTACAGAAGTCACATTCATTAGCAGTGATTTGAGACAACTGTAATTTGATAGACATTAAAGCCATGTTCAGTTGAAATGCAGCTCCACTGTTCAAGCTCATTTGTTTATTTCTTCACAATAAAGTTGTGCCTAGAGAGCACTTTTTACCTGAGGTAGAATGTCTTACCACCAGAGCACCAGGTATTGTGTGAATCAGAATGCCAGTTACACAATCTGAACTGTGTAAACTCTGATGGGTATGAACAGCACCAAACACTTGTTACTGCTTGTGTGGCTGATTGTGCTGATCTGCTGATTGCTGAGGAAACAAGGATCTCTAGGAAGATGGTGTAATTTTATGGAAAAGTAAACTACACTCCTAGAAAACAGCATTGTGCTTCCTCTTCCCTTAGAAAGGAGACTTGTGACATGTCTGCATGTGCCTGTACAACACTGAGAGTGCCCTTAATTCATTAGTCTTTAGAACAACTAATGCTGTCTTATCTGCCCCTCTTACAGGAGTTCCGTATAAGCAGCTGACTGTAGGTGTCCCCAAGGAGATATTTGAGAATGAGAAGAGAGTGGCTTTATCACCAGCTGGAGTTCAGGCCTTGGTTAAACAAGGCTTCAATGTTGTGGTGGAATCTGGTGCTGGAGAAGCTTCAAAATTTTCTGATGATCATTACAGAGAAGTTGGAGCAAAGATCCAGGGGACCAAGGAAGTTCTGTCTTCTGATTTGATTGTGAAAGTAATTGCTTTATTAATGTATTTCCTATTACATTCTTTTTGGAGAAATATATAGGTCATTCTTTCCTAATAATGTGCTGAAAGTTCAGTAAATAAGGTCCTTTAAATTAACGTTTTCCATTCTGAGTTCTGGTTCAATTTTGGGTTTTTTTTTAGTATCTAGGGTATTCACCTACATTACAAAAAGAGTAAATGACAGCATTGAAAAGATTTTGTATAATTACTTAGCGAGTTTTAAACTACTTTGTCTGTTCTACGACGAGGTAGATGAGCTCTGGACTCTAATCGGATGAGATCTCTGCTTTAATAAACCTTTCCTCCAAAATTATTAACATATAACTAGAGTTACTCTTTAATTACAGGGTTGCTTGGAATTTTGAAGATAAAACTTTCTAACTTTTCTCAATTCTGTGGCAACAGTGTATTTCAAAAGTGTTTGTAAACAGATGAGTTATATTTAATTTGAGAAATCTGCTAAAAGCAAAGTTACTTGAGAGTCTTTGGTTGTGCAGAGTACTGAAGGAAAAATGAAAAAGACCTTAAACTTGATGTTCAGGCTTCCTTTAGTTGCTCTGTTTGAAGTTATTCCATCAGGACTGAGCACAGAATTTGTGAACTACTTTGTGAATAACACTCTTAAGTAGGTTTCTTCTTTAAGAAAACTGAGAGACTGAAAAGAAGTGAATATACATGAAGATGATTATAAGCTGGCTGTCTGGTTTGAAATTCCCTGTATGTGGACATACATTGCAGCCTCATTAGTGATTCTTAGCCTGTAGAGCTTAATTGCCACATCTGTTGAGTAACCATTTTGTTTAAAAATGGTGGGTTTGTGGGCAGCTGTCTGTTACAAGCCAGTGACTGATGGTTAGAAGCCATCAGATATTTCTGAAGAGGTGTTCTGACTATTACTGCCCTGTCAATAATCCACCTGGAGCTAATTCCAGTATATGGATTGCAGTTAAGAAGTACAGTTACTCAGTTCGGCTTTATATCCAGCCTTTGGTATACTTTCTTCCTGCTCTACTTTGAGGATGGCAATGGACAGACTGCAAGCTGGGAGAAAGGAAGTGGAGTGTGTTTTAATTTCTTTCCTCTAATTGACTTGGAAAATTCTGTCTTTTTTTTTCAGGTGAGAGCTCCTATGTATAACTCAGCTCTAGGTGCACACGAGGCAGATCTTTTTAAAACAGCGGCTACCCTTATTAGTTTTATCTATCCAGCACAAAATCCAGACCTCCTGAAAAAACTTGCAGAAAAAAAAGCTACTGTCTTGGCTATGGATCAGGTTCCTCGGGTCACCATTGCTCAGGGATATGATGCACTTAGCTCCATGGCCAACATTGCTGGGTATGAATTTTTATTCTTTTCAGCTTCTCTAAGTATAGCTGGATTAAAAATAATGTGCTTTGATATTAGGCACATCTAAAACAATTCTACATCTCTCTTTTCATGCAGCTGTTTCAGTCAGAGTGGTGCAGTTGGAGATGCCAAACTACTTACGTTTCCTATGGTCAGCTTTGCAGCAGATCAAAGCAAGGCTTTGAAAAAAACCCAAACAAAACCAAAGGCAATTCTTTTAATTCCTTGACTATGTTTACTAGATAAGAGCAGATATCCTTAAGACACCTTGAACACAGTTTTGGCATCTGATGTTGTTAGGAGCTAACTAACCCAAAGAGCAGTGGCCATGGCAGATACAAACTAAAGATCAAATACTGTCAGACATCTTCATGCTTTTAGGTATTGCAGTGAATTAAAATGTTGTTGTCCAGCTGGCTTCTGTTATTTGGTTCTTTATTACTGTTATTATTAATTTTACTTTTTACATAGATGATGTCTGTGACACATAATAAACCTTGGAGAAGGCTGCCAGGTTTTGTGTACACAAGCAGTATACATCCGTGTACATGTTTGGTCACTTCTCTATGTTTTCATTTGGTGTAATTTTACTAAAATACAGAAATTTGTAATGTGTCGAAAGGTACAAAATCTACAAGCCGTATTCTAAATTTGAACTGATTTTGTGGCATACAGACCTCCTTATTCCTCTAGAGATAGGAAAAAAGGTGGAATGATATTGTTGGACCACAACACTATTAGTAAAAATACAAAAAATGTGCCCTGTTGTTAAGAAAAGACATGTTTACACACTAAACTACATTTCCAGATAGCTCTGCTGGTGTTAACATGGTATCCGGACACCTATTCTTGGATGGGACAAATGAAGCAGCAAGGTTAAACTATTTGGCCTAAGCCATATAAGTCTACAAAGTTAAGGTCAGAGTATCTGTTTTGAATCTGCACTTGCTTGTCTAAGTGAGTTTACTGTAGAATTACTCTGGGTTTCGCAATGGCTTGTTCATGCTTCCTTCCATAACAAGCCTCAGGTTACAGCCTTTGCAACTAGTTTCAAAGACCACAAAGTTAACTTTTGGCAAGCTATACATTTATTTTCAAGGTAAAATTTTATTTGAGAGAGTGAGCAGTTGTGGGCATCCAGTATGTTGCAGTCCAAATATTATGTGTGAAAATACATTCCATCATTATAAAAAAAAAAGGCCAGAAATATGAACAAAGACAGACTATAAAACTTGGGCTCAGTGGTAAAATACTAAGATTGCTTTATCCTATATATGCTGTGATCAAATGTTCATCCTTTTGGTTGCTGTCATGAATGGGATTTTACTGAACCTGGGACAATACTGATATGTGTTCATCCTTAATTGACAGTTACAAGGCTGTGGTGTTGGCAGCAAATCACTTTGGTCGATTTTTCACTGGTCAAATCACAGCTGCTGGTAAAGTTCCTCCAGCAAAGGTATGTGCAATTAAACACATAGTGCGGCAAAAGAATATGTGAGTGCATGAACTTAGGTTACCACTGCTGATACTGTGTTAAAAGACTGTTTTCCTGGCTTGGGGCTAGCTCTAGAGACCTTAGAAATCCCTGTAGTTATTCCCATACCAATTTTTCTTCACATCTGTAGTACGTTTGCTTAGCTGTAAGCAGCAGAGTAGCTATATGTGGATGGGTTGGGGTTTTTTTTGTTTTCCAAATAGGAAATTTCAAGAAAGCAGTTAAGAAAATTCAGAGATACTTGGGATTTTTGGTACATTGAAGGGTTCAATGGAAAGGTTTGCCTGCTTGGAATTGCAGGTGGATTGGATTGAACAGAAATGAAGGTAGAATTAGGGAAGGAAAAATGAAGATAAAGCATGGAGAAAACCTGTACTTACATAAACTACTAGCTACGGATGAGTTGGCTCACAGATATGTGAAATGAGGAGTTACAGCTTTTAAGCTTTTAGATTTATGGGGCAACTTTGCCAAAGTAATTTTGATTTCTGTGTCTTGTTTAAATGACTGGTTTATGAGCTTTATCTTTTTAGGTCTTGATCATCGGAGGAGGAGTTGCTGGCCTGGCTTCTGCAGGAGCAGCAAAATCAATGGGTGCTGTGGTTCGTGGATTTGATACTAGGTAGGTGTGTGAAAATGGTAATAGCACTCTGAAATCACAATTCATTTTCTACCATATATATTCCATCATTATTCCTTAATTTTTTGTACCTTAAAAGAACCAAACCTTCCAAAGAGTCCTTCTCATTAAATCATTCTGCACTATATGAATAGAAAGATTGTTGCTTTCTGAAAAAGGCTAGGGCTTTTATTCAAAATTTCATGTCCCTCTTCTTAGAGACGCAGGGGAATAATGAAGAAATAATCTTTATGCCCTCATTTATAGCTGCATACTCGAACTCACCTGTAGTCTCCCAGAGAGGCCATCTAGGAGCTCTTTGGAGAGACACTTTTTCAGTCTGGTGAAGGAGTGAGAGAGATCGAGCTACTTGATTTATGAAACTCAGGCTAAAGAACAGGAATTGCAGCTAAAGGATTTTTATATGCTGCTTCCCTTGGGTCGCTTCTTTATGTTCTGTATGATTCTTTTGTGCTATAGATACTTTTTAGAGTAATAGGCTGGGAAAATTCCAGAGCACAAAGAATTTTCTTACAGCTACAGGGACTACAAAGTCAATTATTTTTTTTTCTCTTAAATGGCCTTTTTTACAGTATTTGCATTAAAATTGTTTATACGTGTTTTTATGTAGAAGTGGTATCTGGTCTACTTAGGTATATCTAACAGGAAAGGAAATTAATACATCTCTAGATTTATGATGTGCAATATGGAAAAACTCATTCTGGTTTCTTAGAAAATCTGCATATGCTTTAAAAGAAACTGGAAAGAGTTTATTTTTCATATAAGCAAAGTCAAAATCTCTTGAAACTCCTCAGATTTTAAAAATTCCCTTCTTAAGCATCCAGTATACTTTGATCTTGAGTTGCAAGAATGTTTTTGTTAAATTCTCTGCATGTTGTGGATGTTCACCTAACACTGAAATTTAGTCCCATTTTTTTCTGTGATGTCACATGATGCAAGATGAAGTGCAGATTTTAAGAATAGCTATTAAAAAAACCATCCTCAAACACACATGTCTCACCCTTAGTTTTCCCAGTGAAAATTACTAGTACTTCCCGTTTCACAGTTTAAAGGCAGGGCCACAGGTTGATTATTTATGACCCATCTTAGGCACTTAAGTTTGGGCTTTAGACTTAACCTAGTCATGGCAGGAGCAATGCATAAGCAGAGCTAGTCACCAGTTAAACTCTCAACTTTGAGTTTATTCTGGAGCAACTCTTCTCAATCTACAGGAAACTGTAGGCTGCCATAATTCCTTATCTAAGTCTGTTCATTAGGAACCTAAACTTAGGGGTGTAATTACTTTTTTCAGTAAATTGTGGAAGTTGAAGAGTTTAGTTAAAATCTTCTTAATCTTAGAATAAGTTTTATATCTCTTGTCTGAAGACTGCTGCCAGAAAGACTTGTAAAGTCATGGTGTATTTTTAAAGTAGTTGTTGTTTTCTCCCCTACAATTTTGTTTTTCTAGAGCTGCAGCTCTGGAACAGTTCAAGTCTCTTGGTGCTGAGCCTTTGGAAGTAGGCTTAAAGGAATCTGGAGAGGGACAAGGAGGTTATGCTAAAGAAATGTCCAAAGAATTTATTGAAGCTGAAATGAAACTCTTTGCCAAACAGTGCCAAGATGTTGATATTATCATCACTACAGCACTTATTCCAGGTATGTTTTATGTGCAAAGGGCTAATTTTCATTTATCTAAGTAAGTAAGTTGGAATGTTTAGGAGCTGCATCTGCAGTGAAAACGGAGTAGTTAGTGAATTATGCCTGTGTGAGCATGTACCTTGACCCTTCTGTGATAAATGCCTGTTTTTAAAGTGTGTGCCTTTTTTTTACAACTTTTGTTTTCAGAAACTATGTCTTTGACTCAATATCACCATGTTTTTATTAAGCAAGAAGTAGGTAGTAATAAAATAAGAATATATAATTCTCTTGCATATTTTTTGCATCACTGCTACTTCAGCTGTACAACTTGTGCACTAAAACAAATCTGATTGAAATGGTGCTGCGTTTTGTAATTGAAATATTGTAAAGTAGAGCTTAGGTCTTAGTGCTTCATATTGCTCAATGTCTGTATTTTAATAACTTACGATGTGGCTTTATTTTTTTTTTTTTTTTGTTATGACTTGAACTGCGAGATTGGATGTAGTCTGTTGACAAAATTGGACTTGCTGGCAACCTTGCATAACTTTTTAATATGCTTTATATGTTCTAGCATATCTCTGTGTTTATAAACCACACTTCTGTGACATTTCACCCTAGGAACTGATTATTTGAAAATTTTGCTTGCAAAAATAATTTTTATATATGCAGAGAAGGGGAGAAGTCATCTCCTGAGCTCAACAGTTGAAAAGCTGTGTTTTGTGCCTAACTTGCTGTGCCTTGCCTTGTCTTGTCAGGCAAAAAAGCTCCTGTCTTGTTTAAGAAAGATATGATTGAATCAATGAAGGAAGGCTCAGTTGTTGTGGATTTAGCTGCAGAAGCAGGGGGAAATATTGAGACTACAAAGCCTGGAGAAATGTATGTTCATAAGGTGAGCATTTTAATCTGCAGTTCATTCTCAGTTTGCAAGAACTCAACTGATTTTGCTCTTTTTGGGCTGAAGTAATCCTTGTGATTTGCATTTGGTCACTAGTCATATGTATAGCAATTTGAATATTTCTAAAGAAACAGATACCTTTGTATAGTGTTAATTTGGTTGTTAATGGATGTTATAGAATTCTTGCTACTTAGACTTCCAAGTCCATTATTTGTCTTTGAGTTGTACATGTGGTTTGATGTATATTTCTTGGTCTAGCTAAAAGACACAGCAGTAGCAATAGCATCTTTGACTTGCTTATCACCTCCTACAACTGGATGTTACCAGTCCCTGGTAAAACAGGTTCAGACTGTCAGTATTTACTTCAGTGCAAAGTCTTTGTCTTAGTTTGGTACAATTTCAGCTTCAGGAGGGTGCTGGCTTTGTATGTCTTTAGCTTCAACAAAATGAGTGTGTCTACCATAGAGTATGCAAACCACTTGTAACCCAAAGTAGGTGCAGCATAAATTGGTTCATTAAAGTAAGCAGTTTTGCCCTGGACTGAACTAACTACGTTGACTTTGCTCCAGTGTTCATTGACTTGGTTGAGAACTTGTTTTTCAGGTTTTATTTTTGGTATTTGTGAGAAATCTATGTACAAGTAGAGAAATCTGGGTGAGATTCATAGCAGCAGATTTCCAAGGTTGTAATTTGGTGGTGGAAGGACATAATGCTGTTATTAGGGAAACCTATAGGACACTGCTGCCAAGGTTGTCATGAACATAATTGGGGCTGTGTGTATATATACAATGAATTACACTGCATTTGGCTTTGTGGCTTTTGATGTCATTGCTTAAAACCTGAAACTAGAGTATGTAGAAGAGAAGTAAGCAGATACTTGAATTAAGAGTTTACGTGGTGTGCTTTTAGTCAGAGGAGTGTTACCCCTGGATTTAGAGTACTGGCACTATGCTATGGAAAACGGCAGCAGTGCAGAACTATTACCATTGTGCCGGAGCACTGTATTAGGAAGCCAGAGTTCCTGGAAGCATGCATGGATCTTAGCTGTAAGTTGTGGGAGCAGTGTTTTAACACAAGCCTGCTTGAACACTCACAGAGTATATGCCAGCCTCAGTTTCACATGCTTTCCAAAAGCCTGGCAGCCAGGTATACTCACATGTGTTCTTTGAACAGTGTGGCTATATTATGTTACATTTTAACATATATGTGGACCCAGGCATATTACTTGCACAGCTAGCTAGCTCTGAGGAAGCTCCCTTCACTGCGCTGGCATAGAGAAATTTGCCTCCAGCACTTGTCTTCCGGATGGACTGAGATGCCAAGCATTAGGCAGGGTAATCAGCTGCCTGATTGCCTTTAAAGAAGTTAAGATTATGTTGGATTCTCTAACTGTTGTGAGTAATCCTCCCCTGACTTAACAATGTCAGAGCTGCAGGTAACAGTTTTAGCTGGGGTTATAAAGAGAAGTAAAAGAAACAGTTTGGATATGTATTTCCAGAAGGATGTGTTGGAAGAGATGCTGCTTTTTCAGAGATTGTACAGATCCTTATTATTTTACTTGGATTTTTTTTTCAGGGTGTTACGCACATTGGCTACACAGACCTGCCTAGCAGAATGGCAACTCAGGCCAGTACTCTGTATTCCAATAATATTATCAAACTCCTGAAGGCTATTAGTCCTGACAAAGAGAACTTCTACTTTGATCCAAAAGATGAATTTGATTATGGGACTCTGGATCATGTTATCAGAGGAACTGTAGTTATGAAGGTAAGTCAGTAAATACTCTCTTTTTATTTTTGAGTATATACTTACCCAGTGCTGTCTCTTCAAAATCCAATCAAAGATTGGATGTCAACAGACTTCAGGGGTGGCTTAATGGAGAGTGAATGATTGTGTTTGTATTCAGCTGAATATTCCTCTGTTCCTTTTTGCAAAGGGAAACCTCTTTGCTTTTGTCTTTTTGTCAAGGTTAAACAAATACCTCGTGTGTCTACTGTTGGAAAACAGGAAAAAGATGAAATTTGCATATTGTATTCATGTGATAAAAGCAGGGTTATTTAAAACATACTTGAAACTTTTCTACAGGACCAGAAAAACATTCTTCCTTTATTTTTTATATTTTTAAAATACATGTTTCTGCTGTAGTAAGAGTAACTTCATAAGAGAAATGGTGAAACTAGAATATTCAGGATATGTTAGGCTTTATTAGGAAATAATGAATTACAAACTCAGAGCATTGACCAGTAAGGGCTCTCCTCCTACAACTATTAGGAAATAATAATTTGCAGCTTAGGTGAGAGGTATTTGTTTCAGTTGAGTTTTGGTACATTATGTTGCAAACACTTTATAATGCTTATGACAGCTACTCTGGAGGAGTCTTGGGTTGACTTCAGCTGTCTCAGACCGCTGAAGTGATGTGTGCAGCTGGGAGCTGACAGCTCCACAGTTATTGCACCAGAGTCCTGGAGAGCTTCAAGACATGTAAAGCATCATGTTTGATACTTAGCTGAGGTCTGGACAGGCTTTGATTGCAGTTCATATCTGTAGCAGGTTTTGCTATTTCTGAGACCCTGTTTTATTTTACATACATGTTTTCCATTTATGGAACTCTATCTCTTTGTTTTGGTTTCTGCTTTCAAGCCTTGTGCTGTGTCTCTGTCAGGTGAGACACTAATATCGAATCTTCTTTTAAGAATGTCTGTTTATCTTTGGCCATGCTGTAGTGATCATCCAGCCTTGCAAAACTCTGCTGATGCAGGAAAGCAAGTTGTTTCTGTGGCATGGCTGTAGGGTATTAGGACTTAACTGAATTCCAGGATTAAGAAGAGAATTCTTCTCTAATTGCAAAGCATCTGCTGTTGTTAGGCATAACTGTATCTCTTGTCAGGATGGCAAGGTGATTTTCCCAGCACCTCCACCAAATAACATTCCTCAAGGAGCCCCTGTGAAGCAGAAGACTGTAGCAGAGCTGGAAGCGGAAAAAGCAGCTACTATTACACCTTTTAGAAAAACTATGACTAGTGCATCTGTATACACAGCAGGTAGGCAACTTCCAGAGCTGGAGAATCAGTGTAGAGTATTCCTTGTTTCGCTAATACTCTTAAGTGACTCATCATCTAACTCATTCAATGGAATAACTGTTTGGGAGAGCAGTTGATTGGCTGCTGTATCCTCGTGCAAAATCAGTGTAGTGTAATAACTGCTGTCTAGAGGGAAAATAAAGTTTTAGAAATTTAACTAAACGTATTAACATTTCAACAAGTGTGCTGTGTGCTTGTATGTCTGACTCTACTTAAATACCGGTAAAATTCTTAAAATTCTGAAGGACTCCTGCTAGGGGCTGTGCCCATACTTTGCAGCACAATCAGTTCACTGTCATTGCTTTCTTTAAATTGTGCTGTATTTTGTGAAACTTAAATACCCGTAATCTGCTGAATTACTGGGAATGGGATATTTGTCTTGACCCTTTGTGTCATTTGGTATTCTCTGTTCATTAGTACTTCTGCATGAGGTAATTAACAAATTGAATATTCTTAATTTTAGTCTCTGTTCTTTATATGTATGCATTGAGTCATCCATGTTGTGTCTCAACATGATTCCTGCTCTTCTACATTTTTTCTATAGAACAGAAGAGTGAAAGGTTCAGTGTTGGTGTAGAAAACTATCTTTGCTGCTTTGTGCGCATACATAACAAATAAGTGTGAATTTATATTTATGGCTTTATTTTCTGTTGTAAAAGAAATACTAGCACTGAAAGGGCCTTGTATTTGACAAAGCTGATCCACCTAATCTTGAAACAAGTCTATGCGCAGAATTCCATTTTGGTTTTATGTCACTACGGGACTCCAGTTGTATACAGTTTAAATGTAAGAAATAATTGAAAAGCTATAGAGAAGTTTTCCTGTGCTTTTCTTCTAGGTTTAGCTGGTACATTGGGACTAGGCATTGTAGCACCTAATACTGCTTTCACGCAAATGGTGACAACGTTTGGGCTAGCTGGAATAGTGGGGTACCATACAGTATGGGGTGTGACTCCTGCTCTGCACTCTCCACTCATGTCTGTGACGAATGCTATCTCAGGTAAGTAGCTGGTGCACAGCTGCTCATTTTCTCTTTGAAGTAAGTACAGTTCCTTTTACTTCAGCTTTAGATAGAAGTCCGCTGGTACAGAGTTCTTTTAGAATGCTAAAGAGCCTAGTACACTGTGCATATTTGAGTTTACCTTAATAAATAGCAAGGACACCTGGAACAGTCTTGAAGACAGTATGATTTTTCAAAAGAAGGGCAAATATGCTGCCATGTGTTTTTAATTTTCATAAGTAATTTTTTACTCTTGACTTGTTTGCTTTAAATTTTGTTCTACTTGTAGTGCTGTAGTCTCCTTTCATAGAACACATCTTTCCTCCCATCTCTCCAAAATGTTGCCCTGAAAATATGTTTTCTTTCATGTGTTTTGCATTCTCTTATTCCTCTCCTCAAACTGTCTTCTGAGAAAGGGGAAAAAGAAAAAATTACCCATAAGATCATAACTCTATAAGTATGTAAGACTTTATATATCTGTGTGTGCAGGTCACAAGTCTGATCTACTTTGGCTGTTAAAACCAAAGTTTCCTTTATTGAACAAGCACTTGGAGGCTAACTCTGTGCTTGAGGCACTGTTCTTCAAAACTACATTCATATACTATTGCTTTTTCTTTTTAAACATGTTTGCATTGTTGAATAAGACCATGGTAGTCTTCTTCTAAATAGTAATGTGTAGAGTGGGGGGTTAAACTTTGAGTTGATTGGTATTTGTTTGAAAGCAGAAAGGAGACTTGCTATAGGTATAGAAACTTTTAAGGTTCAGTAACACTTTCTATCTTTTAAATAGGTCTAACAGCAGTTGGTGGGCTGGTATTGATGGGTGGACACTACCTCCCTGAAAACACTTCTCAAACTCTAGCAGTGCTTTCAGCCTTCATCTCTTCAGTCAATATTGCAGGTATGAAGGTTAAGTTTTATCCCAAGGGTAACTTCAAGGACTTAGTTTTTTTGTTTTTTCTAGCTCTTTAATTGTATAAATTTCAGAAATACTAATCTGGGAATAGGATCTGAGAGCATTTATTAATTAAAAAACACCACCCTTCCAATTTTCATAGTAGTTAATGTATCTGGTTTGCCCTTTGGAGTAACCTTATTTGAGGAAACATTTGAATGTGCATCCTTGTTTTGCAATATCCTTTGGGTGATGACTGTATGCAATGTATTTTCCTGTATATCTCAAGATGTTAGTGTACTCGTATCCATTTTCTTTCTTGAAATGTACACTAGTGGCATAGAAAAAAATTCTGCTTTTTCAAGCTTCAGAAGTCACAGCTTCAATAATAGAAAAGGTAAGAAAGTTACCCATGTGACTTACGAATACTACTTTTGCTAGAGTAGGTATGGGAAAAGGACACAGCCATAAACTAAGCTGTATCCTACTGTCAGTGTGGAGTGTGGAGCCACAGCTAGTCCTTCTTTTCTTCTGAATTGCTTCCAAAGGTTAAAAAAGACAACAGGATAACCCTGATTACACCTTTGCTTCCTAATAGTTTTCAGAGGCTTTATGGGTGTCATTTGCTAAATTGTGTGGTAACATGGTTTTACTAAATATTCCTCTTATATCTTGACATATGTTTAGTTTCAGATTTTCTTTTTCTAAGATTATTCCTTTACTTTGGGCAGGTGGTTTTTTAGTTACACAGAGAATGCTCGATATGTTCAAACGTCCCACAGATCCTCCTGAGTACAACTACTTGTACCTTCTTCCTGGTGGTGTGTTTGTAGGAGGCTATGCAGCTGCTCTCAGTGGTGGCTATAATATTGAACAGGTAAGAACTTAAGTTTGTGGCTCTTAGCCCATTGTTGAATGTTGTGCTTCTTCACTGCCTATTATGTTGAGGAGTAAATAGCAAATAATCCAAGGTCTTTTCGTCAGCTGTGTATTCCCACAGTGCAATCAGAAGTTGATTAACTTTAGGATTGCAATAATACTCCAAATGCTGAATCTGAAAATTTTAAAAGCTTTGTTGTTATCATTTGGGTTTTTGTAAAGCAGCAAATACCTTTATTCATTGGACTCTTTTCCTAAATTACAGTTTAAATATTAGAGCAACTACAGAAGTCAGTTCTTTGGTTTAAATGTTTCGGAAAATTCAAGTTGGCATGACGGTTAAAGTAGGTATGACATCCAGATGGGATGAGTTGTCTGTACAGAGTGATGTACAAGGGTTTTACCTATAGCACCTTTTATCATAAACTTTCATTTGCATTTGTTTTAATAGTAAGAAAAGGCAATATGTATTGCATTCTGTGTTTGGAAAAAGTGAATTCAAATATAGTGTTATGCCAGGGGCTTGTAATATATTTGAGTTTTTTTCAGTTATCTTGACATGTACAGCTCAGTTATTTACTTTGTTTATACTCGCTGGACATTCCTTTCATCCTGTCCCTTGTTACCTGGGAGAGGTGATCAACACCCACCTCTCTAAAACCTCCTTTCAGGTAGTTTTAGGGAGTGATAAGGTCTGAACCACCTTTTAAAAGGCAATATGTATTGCATTCTGTGTTTGGAAAAAGTGAATTCAAATATAGTGTTATGCCAGGGGCTTGTAATATATTTGAGTTTTTTTCAGTTATCTTGACATGTACAGCTCAGTTATTTACTTTGTTTATACTCGCTGGACATTCCTTTCATCCTGTCCCTTGTTACCTGGGAGAGGTGATCAACACCCACCTCTCTAAAACCTCCTTTCAGGTAGTTTTAGGGAGTGATAAGGTCTGAACCACCTTTTCTTCAGGTTAAACAATCCCAGCTCCCTCAGCAGCTTCTTATCAAACTGGGGCTCCAGATGCTTCCCCGGCTTCATTGCCCATGCCTGGACTTGCTCCAGTACCTCAGTGTCTTTCTGGAGTGAGTGGCCCAAAGCAGAACACAGGATTTGTGGTGTGGCCTCACCAGTACAGGGAAATGATCACTGCCCTGGTCCTGCTGGCCCCACTACTGCTGATAGTTCAGAACTATGTGAACAGTTTCTTAGCTCAAATATGTCATAAGCAAATTCTGCAACTGTTCCTGTAACAAACAGGACTGTTTAGCTTTGGGTTTTTGTATTAAAGAAAAACTTGTTTCTGAACTGATGAGGAAAATAGGCTTGATTCTGGTTTAGTATTCGTGCTGCATATAGAAAAAGATCATAAAATGAGGGAAAAATTTTATAGATGCTACACTTTAATTGGCCAAAATTACATTCTGTATCACAGTTTCTCACAGTCAAGAGTTTTGACTTAAGACCTGTGACTTGAACTCATTCTGGAAAAATCAGCCCTTCTGTGTAATAATCAGAAATATTTTTCATAATGGTGATGCAATTTGTCACTGCTTCATACTGATGGGTTTCTTATTTTAAAGGTGATGTATCTGGGCTCAGGATTATGCTGTGTTGGTGCCCTGGCTGGTCTGTCTACCCAAGGAACAGCTCGTCTTGGAAATGCTTTGGGTATGATTGGTGTTGCAGGAGGTTTAGCAGCAACTCTTGGAAGCCTTAATCCATCACCTGAATTGTTGGCACAGATGTCAGGTGCAATGGCACTTGGTGGTACCATAGGTATGTGTATGATACTATGAACTAACAATCTGTGTTCTATGCATGCATTTAAGTGAGCTGCGTATACATAAATTACTGTATAGATTGCAGGTGAATTGACTCAGTTACATTTATGGCTTTTACAGAACTATTTTGCAAGTATGTGAACAAAAAATCATAACTTGCAGGGCATTTATTAATGCTTCAGAATGTGGTCACAAATGGGGAGACTGGGGGAAAAGCAGGAGCACATCATCTCTATTAGGGAAACTGGGTGTCCAGAGGTGAATGAATTTGCCCAACTTCATATTCAGTTCCTGACTGAGTACTGCCAAATTCCCATTTTCACACTGTGCTTTTGACACAGAAAACATTGAATTCCTCAATATTTAGTGAAGCTTTTAAGAACATGATATCCTTTAATCTTCTTTCTATTTTTCATGAGATCCCCATTGCACAAAATACACATGCAGCCTTCAGTTCAGTGCCATAACAATTTCTAGTTGGAACAGCCTTGTGTGTGCTTGTATTCATTACACACTGAGCCATGCTGCATTGATTTCTAGATGAACAGATTGGTTATATTTTGTAAGACTTCCCTTCTATCTTCAACTCTCAATAGGTCTGACGATCGCTAAACGCATTCAGATTACAGATCTACCTCAGCTGGTAGCTGCTTTCCATAGTTTGGTTGGTTTGGCTGCTGTGCTCACCTGTGTAGCAGAATACATGATTGAATTTCCTCACTTCGCTACTGATCCAGCTGCAAACCTCACCAAGATTGTGGCATATCTTGGCACATACATTGGTGGAGTGACTTTCAGTGGCTCCCTTGTTGCATATGGAAAACTGCAAGGTAAGACCTGCTGTTTCGAAATAAGTATTTGTTAAGGGCTTTTTTTTCTTCCCCCAGGATTTAGCTCTGCCTTTAGACTGCTGTGTAATTGGAAAGAAAGGTTGTACTTTGCATTGGGTAAAAGTTTAGATGTTTAATTGCTATGAGTGTACTTTTTTGGTTTAATTCTATTTAATTTGTGTACAGCTTTAGTTATGGAAGGTTTGTTTTCGGTGCTTGGGCATATTACTACTATACATTATGAAGTCTTGTAAACTTTCCTCAATTCGTCATGTCTAGAAATAAGTGTTGCATTGGTATGGTTTAAGACAATACCTTCTTCTTATTCTCAAGTTTCTTTTACTGACCTTTGATGATCACAACTTTGTATTCCTGAGCAGGCATTTTTATTGAAACCCTAATGTTGCTGGATTCAGTGAGCACTGCTGATATCTATGGGATTTTGTTCTTAACATTGCAGGCTTCATTAAGGTAGGCAGCTTGCAGTATCAGTTGAGGCTGCTTCACTTTAGACCATTCAGTTCACTGTCTGTATCTACTGTGCAAACTCCATGCTCCATATCTCCTATTGGATGTGCCTTCTAAATTAAATACTCACTAATTCCTGATTCTTATGCCCATGAAGGTTTCTTTATTGCATTTATTTTTGGTTTTGTATGCACACAGCTTTTAAGAGACTGATGTAATACCTGAACTAAGAATTTCTGACTAAGAGCTTCCTATTACTAATCCTGTTGTTAGCTTTGCAATAGTTCCTTTGGGAAACATCCGTTCACTTTCTTCAGTGTTTATGAGACCCACCATTGAAGGAGTAAGTGTGACATGGATGGAAATAATCTTTTGAAGGATTTGTCAGTAGTATGTATATCTGCTGTATCTCTGCTAAGTAGTTACTCATTTATTTATTCTCTGTTATTTTTTCTCTTTTCATTCTACCCCCTCAATGGTTTGTGTGCATGTCCCTGGTGAACTCTACTGCCTGTTTCAGCCCACTTTCCTATTTATTTTTTCCGCCTCTTGCATTTTCATATTGTGTTGATATGAAATAATAAGCTTGTCGGTACTATTGAGCTAGAGGTAGTAGGTCACACAATTTGAC